TAATCGTGGGCGTTCATTATATTAATCGCCAACTTATTTTCTGTCGGATGGATTCTGTTAATAATTTCGTATAATCTCGTATAATTTCTTCTCCAGTATTCTTTTGGTGTTTCTATATGCTTTTCTGCTGACTTCATAAAGTTTTTTCTATATTCAAGAATTTCTTTAATGTGGTATGTTGAAATAAGGTACTTATATTCACGAATTGTTAAATACCAGACACTACTAATTGTCTTGAATTATTGACAAGCTTACGGGGTAGCTGAATATCTTGAACACCATAAGTTATATCCCCTGAATACAAGATCCAATAACTGTAAACTAGTTCTTATGGATTGTAAATTGAATACATTAACTCACTACACAAATATGTATGATCATTTGCCTAATGTTAAAGGCAGTTGACGCTTTTGCTTTCATAATTATACAAAGCATGTGAGATCCTTAGCCTTAATTTGTCAATGTTATTTACACAGATATGCTTGAAATAAATCTCAAGCATTTTGCCATAAGGAATATGGAATTATAACTATCTTGTAATACATGGAAGATTAACTAGTATGATTATTGTATTTGGAGTTAATTTGCAACAGCAAGCGACATAAAACCAATCCCATTGAAACAAATCAAACGACACAGTTTCTAAACAGTGGTTTAAAAATATTTATCTTTACTCTAACACAAAGTATCACCATTTTGTTCAGGAATTAGATAATTAAAACTCAAAGTTAAATCATTCAAGCTCTCGTAGATAAAAAGTTGTCTCCCTAATAATTTGCGCCTAAAATGTGACGTATTCTAAAGACTACTTACGAGTAGCCCTGTTTCTCTAATAAGTTACAAATAGGTAAATTCATACTACTTATCTATCATCTAAATGATAGATTTGTGTTTTTAGGTGATGAAATTTTTTCACATTTCAAATGTACTCAAAATATTGAATACATCTCAATCAATGAACTTGTTAGCACAATTAGAAACAAAATTGTTGTCAAAATCCATTAGGGAGGAAGGCCCCTGTTTCTATACAATTTATATATTTTAAACTGTCAATTTATACATCTGTATAATCAAGAAAATGAATAAGAAATTTGGAAAGACAATATAAATAATATTTTTAATCTATAATAAGGTTTTCGAAGCATCGGTTTACATGGCAGCTATATCTCAATCGCAACTGATCTGGTAGTGGTGGTAGTGCTAAAACTGGAAATTCATATGAAAATTTCTCAGCAATGGACAATGAATTCACGACATTGCTGAACTAAAGATCAAGTGATTATTCAGTCAAATTGACATATGTGAGTGAAGACCTCGCTGACTGGCTATTGAATGAAATACGAATTTAGATCTTTATCGAATTTTTGTTTCATAGAAATCTTCGAAAGACTTATAATATGCTAGCACTGCATCATCCAGAAATAACATGCGGACATTCTAAATCGCATATAAATTCATAGAAGGCGTCTTTAATGCTGGGTTACTTACACAACATATTAATTTTTCAAAAAATATTATTACGCATAATAGATACGTTGAAGTCAAGTCAAGTTTGAGGATTAAATTTAGCTAGTCGTGTACTATAGGTTTTTGGTTGTTGTATCTTCATCAGCAGATATAACCTACTAGAAGACTAGTTACATCAGGAAAAGAATTAATGAAATCTATCGATATTTACAGGAAGTCAACTATTGTATTTACTGAATGCCACTGACGCTGCTGTTTTGTATAAATGTAAACGTATGAACGTACTCAGTTGTGCAGGTACTTGCGTTTTCTTGAGATCATGGAGCTGATTTCATAAATAAAAGACAATCCAGAATCAGAGTCATTTTGATTACGATACTGAGTTTGAAAACCATCGCAAACTGCCAAAAAGCTCTTAGCAATTACTCTGAGCATGGAGACATAAGCCTTGTGTGGGTGCCAGTATACTGTGGAATTTATGTTAATTGCATGGCAAATGAACTTCCCAAATAAGGTACTGCTGCTTAAACTCTTTCCAAAAGAAGTGCACCCCTTGTGCAACATATCAAATATGATAAAGGTAGACGATAAAAAAACAAAATATCTAATAAGCGAAATCACGTGTTATTGATGGGGGTGATAACAGCTCACTGTCTGATAAGCAGATACGCTGCTACACTCAAACCTTTACAAATGACCACTATGAAAGCTGCAACTGTCCAACGTTATGTTGAAATGTGAATACCCTAGGGAAATTTGAAAGAAATTGCCAAAATAGACTAATCCCCCATTTTGATGTGTGTTAATCTCTATTATTGATTTTACGAGTAACGGGGGCGGAGAATGTGTCATAATTTGTGACAGCCTAGCTACATACATACCTATTAAACCAAGTAATATCATTAGTTTTTTCAAAAATACCCACACGTTTCTAACTGTAGTCTTCTAGCATTACCATTGTACGAGTTAAGGGAAAACTAGACGAATACGTTTATAGCACCGGATAACATAACTGACATAACTGGCTAAGTAAAATTTTAAATACTATGTGCCCCAATGATTAAAAATCAAATGACACTTGTGTTATTATTTATTTTGAAGTTTTTTTAAATATCACTCAATTGTACTACAAAACAGCAGTATCAGTGGCATTCACGAGATGCGATACATGGCTACCTCCAAGCATCGATGGTTTTTGTTGATCATTTTCATGGATGGTTCTCATGTGATCTTTTAGAAGGCTACATAGCTAATGGAGATATAACAACCAAAAAACTACAATACACGACTAACTAATTTTGGAGACGATTCAAGGGTTTTCAACAAAATTTTTGGAAAATTAATATATAGTTTACATAACCGAGCATGAATTATATATCTATAAAGTGATATGTTATTTGAAATGTCTGCATATCAATTTCAGAATATGCAGTCTTACCATATGTCTTTTAAAGATTTGTACGAGGTATGGAGTTGGTTATTGGTCTAAATCCGTTTTTTTTTCGATTTCCACTGCAAGTCTGCACTTCTTATGTTGAGCCTTTTCCGAGTTAGTGCATTTGGGCACTTTTATGCTATGATGGCTGGAGAGTTTCTGCAAAGTCTCACCCATCTCACTGACTAATTTGAGTATTCCTCATAATCTTCGTGATTATTCAATGACTGATCTAAGTTCTGCGTACCGCCCCGTGCGGTTAGTGATTATTTTGATATTAGATAATGCTAAGTAGGGGACCCTGTCGATTTCGCATCTAGCTTCAGAGTTCTGTCCCTTATATACTTGTAGATTTTGGATAGTAGAGTCGGCAGCTTTGCTATAAGCGACACACCCATAAAGTAGTGCTGGTCTAATTAACTGGCTATAAATCAGCCATTTGTTCTTTGCGCTAAGATTGTTGTTTGAAAAGTGGTTGTAAGCAGTGCAGTGTTTTTGCGCAACTACTTCTTTTGACTTGTATGTGGTTGTGAAAAGTAAACCGTTTATCAAACGTGATTCCTAAGTATTTAATGCTGTCCTCCCAGTTGATCGTGGTGTCACCCATTCTCACTCTCGGTTGATGCTGAGTGCTGCGAAATTTTCATATGAGTATATAGTTTTCCCACTACCACTCCTTGGCCGAAAATACTACATAGCTCTCTATTTACTAGCCTATATGAAAAACTAAACACAGTGATGAAGAACAAAACAAAAATAGTGAAATTGTAAAATAAAAAATCATGTGATAATAATTTAATTTAATATATATACCTAATAATTTGACTTCATATTTAATAATATGTATTTAATATTTATTATGATTTAATATTAATATAACCTTCGGTAGACGCCAAAATTGTCATAGCTGTAAGCTTTATAT